GCAGCGTTGGCTCATCACCCCTAAAATGGGTGGTGTGTCCTCTTCAAGCAAAGGAGCTGGGACAAGTCACTGCTCCTGGAGATCTGCCCTTGGCAACACACACACACAACAGGCAGCATGACCAGGAGGATCAAGGTCTTGAGTGAGGGTAAAAAAAAATTCCAGCCTGGAAGGAACGAAATTGTCATTTATGACACACACACCTCCCCGGTGAACTTTCTGAAGTACACGGTGTTTTAGGCTTGTTATCCTATAACCTTTAGGAACATATTTCATCATCTCTTCCCTGAGATAAGAAATTACCTCCCTGCAGCCAGACCCTGCTGGCCAGGCCTGGAGGCACCATGTGAGTCCAACTGCCCTGGCTGTCACTGGGAAGTGGTGGTGGGACATCTACCACTGGGAAAGGAGGCAACAAACTCCTGGTGTGAGCATGGTTTGGGCACTCCAGTGCCTGCCCCAGGCTCTACCTCACTTTCTGGGGTGTGCTGGCCTCCTCTCAGGCACAAGTCACTCACCCACTGCCTGCACAGCTCCCCATCCCTCGTCCATGTGTTTGCTGCCCACCATCCTCCACAGGGTCCAAGGGCAGCTGAGGAGGGATCCCAGCCATGGCCATGAGCTGCCAAGGTGTTACCTGTGGGCTGAAGTCAAATGGGGCAGGTTGTTCCAAAGCTAGACAAGAAAAAGTGGCAGAAAACACTTCTAATAGGGGTGTTACGGGTTTGTTTGTCTTAAGGATAATTCTGCCTGAAATTAAAAATGGAGGGTTTTTTTGGAAGGAAAATAATAGCTCAAATACATAAGCATTGCTCTGAATGCTCATTTCATTTAGCTGAGGCTTTTTCAGTAGAGAAAATAAAATTTCAAGATTTCAAGTTTATACTGATTTTTTTCCTTCTTCTTCTTTATTTTTTTTTAAATGGGGAAATTTGCTTATCAAAAAGGAAATCTTTCCGCCTTCCTAGAGAGGTGGTCGATTCCCTGAGCATGTTATTGTTTAAGATGCAGTTGGTCAATGCCCTTACAAACATGCTGTAACTTTTGGTCAGCCCTGAAGTGGTAGCACGAGCACTGTGGGACAAATTGGCTTCCAGGGGTTAGCCAGGGGAGCTGTTGAAAAAAAAGCTAGAAAGCATGACTCGGGCACACAAATCTGAGGAGGATTTATACATTTTTGTGTTGATTTTCTTGTGGCATTTTTCAGCCTGGAGTGTGTCCCAGCTGTCCTGAGCCCAGAGCACCATCAGTGGGCTGAGAACAAGCTCTCTCAGTATAAAATGACACAGAGATGCTCCAAGTCCCTGTCAGTTTGGAGCTTGAGGGCAGAGGATCTGCTGAGTCTCTCAACCAGGCAGTAACTCTGTTTCCACACAGTTTGGAAAACAGAGATTTTTTTTTCCTCAGAGACATTATAGCAAAAGTTGGCTATGAGGAGACTGGTTTACACTTTCCAAACCCTCCTGGTTCTAAGTTTGTCTTGCAACAGAGCCAAGAGCATTGCAAAAATGTGTACAGATAGCAATTCTGTGTGTGTGCTTGTGCCTGAGTACACCTGTAACTCCTGATTACGAGCCAAGAGTCAGAAAGCTTTTTTTTGAGTGTGTGAGTTTGACTTCCCACTATCAAAGAGCCAGATTGACTACAACACGATGTCTGACTTGATGATTACAGCTTCTTCATTTATGAAGATGACTAATAAGTGGTTTTGGCCAGAAGCTTCTATTTTCTGATAATGGTAACTGTTGTTTTTTGCATCTGAAAATCACAAGTGCTTTACAGATGTGGATCTCTGTTTAAAAAGAGAGGGAAGATGTGTTGGCTTGCAAGGGTATTTGAAGCCAGTGGCAGATCTAGGTTTATTATTAAGACTTACTGGTTTCTTGCACTGTCACAGCACCCACACACAGACCAGGACTCCAACACTCCAGTTTTTCAGAGTACAAAGGACATCTCTGCCTCAGCAGTGCCCTGGAGAGCTGACAGAAAGGAAAGCTGCTGCTCTGCCATGTTGCCTAGAAAATGGGCATCCAAGCTGTTTTAAACACACTTCAAAAAGTCTTTGCTTTGCTTTGCTGGTGCTGAACAATCTCATTCACAAGGGTGTGCGTGGCAGAGGATTGCACATACAGAAGGGTGGCTCAGGAGGGCAGGACCTGCCTGGTGTCCTTTGGACCACAGCCCAGAGCTGGGATGTGCCTGATTCCAGAACAATCTCTTGGATATACATTTTTTCTTTTTTTTGCACTGGGAGCCAGAGCAGCAGCTGGATGGCCCTACACAAGGCTGTGCTTTCACATAAATCCTTCCTGCAGGCTGGGGCTCGAGTGCTGCTTGTCCCTAACAGGCATGTTGCTGTATTTTACAGCCACAGGTAAATCCAGGAGATGATAGTGTGGGAAACAGGTAAACCTGGGGAGATTTTGCATTAGTGGGGTAGGTGATTTGCCCCACTGTGTCTGCCCTCTCACAGAACCCTTCACAGTGTGACAGGAGAATAAAAAGCAGTGTGTATGGTCTTGATAGCACAGGCCAGGCACGAAAGGTAAGGCTTGTCCTTCAGGTGTTTTCAGGGAGAAGGGGCAGTTTGCTGTAAAATCCACTGTCCAAACAGGAAAATTGAACAGTGCTTGACAGTGCTCCTCCTGATGGGCTCATACTCCTCACCAACTCTCTGCTTCGCTCCCATATGGAGCAGATGCTGTTGTTGCTGCTGCTCACAGGCAGCACTGAGAGGAACAATTTCCATGTACAATTCCTTCTGTGGCATTACACAACCCATGTATTAACACACACTAAATTTTCATTGCATGTTGGCTGCTGGGGGGGGTGGTATTCACGATTTTAAAAGGGCTGTTTCCCTTCCCAAGACATGCAGCTACACTATACCCTCAGTTTGATCTGATTATCAAAGCCATACTGAAAAATAAAGGGAGTCACAGGCATGGGGGATCTCACAGTTTAAAAGAAAAAAAAAAAGGAAAAACAAAAGGGGAAAAAAAAGATAAAATCTCTTGTTTTCCAAGCTAAATAGTGTGAATCACAAGGCTAGGAGTAGCAATGTAAAGCTGGGGTGCACATACCACTGTCATGGTGCTGGGAGTTGCATGCAACAGGTCACAGAAGTTCCTTGTAAGATACCTACTGTAAACTGAAAAACACTGGGATATAATATTCACTCTTATTCATTGCACTAGGGAGAGAAAAGGATTAAATCACACTTGAGACATCTGTCTGCCTGCCTCAGAAAGCTTCATTTTCATGCTAAGTCTAATTTTAAAATGTCACCTTGAAAATGTGTGACATTTTAATGGGCTGATTGCCAAGATGCTCAAATCCTTTAATTTGCATATGAATCACAACGTTAAATATTATGGGAAAAGTATAAAAACGTAGAATTATGAGAGGATGCCTTGCATTACCCTTGCTTAAACATGTGTTGGGAGGACTGTCTCCTAGAAATCTAATATTACAAAGGCAAATGAGATTAAAAAATGCTGTGGTATTCCCATTTATACCATTAGCTGGTTGTGATTGCATGTGGGTTTTTCTTGCAGCTGCCTAATAGCAGCCTGGGTGTTGCCTGTTCTTTGAATAAGCCTCACAGCACATTGCAGCATCATGAGGATGGGTTTGCATTCCCTTCTCCCACACTTCTGACGCAGCTCCAAGAAAGTCAGCAGGATTTCATCAACGTCCTCTGATCATCTCTCTCAAGTAAACAGTTTTCAGGTTGCTTCTAAAAGCGATGGAGCCAAAACGGGCCCCAGGGGCCATAAATTCCCAGAGATCCATGCACTTCATTTAGAGGAAGCTAAGGAGCCTGGACTGGGCAAGTACCTCCTGCATGCCAGGGTCCATGACTAGGCTGGTGGGAGTTAAGTACATGGATAAATACTTGCTGGATTAGGGCTTGTGGTTAGAGAAAATCCTTCCAACTGAAACAAAACTTCCTATAAGGATCTAACTCTTAAGAAGTTCTGGTGAAGTTCTTACAGCAGGTTTTCTCATCTAATGTGAGTAGCTCAGTGCAGGACTTGGCACAGCCTAAGCAATTGTTTGTAGCTCCTGCACAGCTCATCTGCTCTGGGAGCTGATTTGTGACAGAAATCCGCTTGAATGGAGATGGTAAATTCAATTTACTTGTCAAAAAGAAGTGAAAAATTCCACAGCAGAACAATCTGGGTCACAATGTACTTTGGATTAAAAGATTTAGTAAAGACAAAGGACCCAAACCACATAATTCTGATTCAACTTTCAAGCATCAAAAGTTTGAGGTTAATCAAAACTAGGGTTTAGTTCATCCATTCATGAAGATATCTGTGTAAGTTGGAGCTGACCCTGTGCTTGGATCTTGGGATCTGTTCAAACCCAGGGACCAGACCCTTTCCCAGTTTGCAGCAGAAAGCCCAAAACCACACAGGAAAAGCTGCTTAAATGAGAAGGCACCAGCAGAGAGAACTAGCTGAGAGTCTCTCCTGGGTCTCTGGAAACTTTCAGGTAGGAACAGGACAGAGAGGTGGAAGTTTCACAGTTATTTGTATCTCCCTGAGAGACTGAAGAGCTGCTGAAATAATACAGATTTTTGCAAAACAAAAGAGACCTGTGGTGCACCTGTGGTGCACAGGTGTCAGTCACAGTGTTTCTGGCTGTCCATTCACACAACTGCAACACTGGGCAGAGCTTGGCTCCCAACATTTACAAAGCCATCAGTGGAACTGGAGCTCTTTTGGTGTTGCACTTATGATGCATATGTACCTCAAAAATAATTCTAAAGCCTCTCCTCTGAAGGAGAACCATCCCTCCCCTCTCCTGTACAGCCCATTACCTCGTATTCATCATGAAAGCATTTGTCTTTAGGAAGCACAAACAGCTCTCACGTGCATGCATATGCAAAAGAAACAAGTACAACACCCATTTCTGTAGAAGAATATATTATTTAGCAGATCAGTTTAAAAGTAAAAAAAAAAACCAAAAATCTGTACATCTTTGAAGGGGTTTTTTTGTTGCTTTTTTGCATCAGCAAGGATAAAAATGTGTTTGCACCGTGGTTTCAGCTTTGTGCTCCTTCTTTACTCATGCTGAAGGATCCCATGGTGTCCAGCTGTACCAGGCCACAGAGCAACCCTGCAAACTCATTAAGGTTTCTTCTGATTTCTTCTAGTGTAGAAAAAAAAAAAAAAAAGAAAATTGCATCCACTATGCTGGGCTTCTGAATGCACTGTGAACACTATAAAATTCAGGGAATAATGCAGAGAAATGTGTAATTAGGGCCTACTGGGCAAACAAAAATGTATGCCAGGACCCTTGTCAGTATATAAGCATCTGTTAAGCTGTGCTGTAATTAGCATACTGCTGTACACATAGAGAATCTTCACTAAAACAACTTCTTCTGGTGTTTTTGGATGCCAATGGAACACTTTCCAGGAAAAGCTCCTTAGCTAAGCTCTGATTTGTCTCTACACACTGTGGCTGACAGTTTGGTCACCAGAAAGGCAGCTCTGCTGGAGGTTTGAGCCGTGCTGCAGCCTGTGCACTGTCCGCAGGGGAATCCTGCTGGGAATGTTGGAGCGTGGGGAACCCTCGGCGTCCGACGGCGGCAGCGCCTGTGCAAGGAGGCTGCAGGCTGTAGATGAGGTGCCCAGGCAGGCAGGACATCCATCCCTGCCGCTTCTCCTCATGCACGGTCCCAGCTGGATTTTGACGTCTGTTTGGCAAATACAGCATTTCTCAAAACCGGAGCAACCTCGGGGCTTGTGTTTCGTTCAAGGGCTTTTCTCGTCTCACTTTTCGGTGCTGCCGGCTGTCAAGCTTTCACTTTTCTGTTTCTGCAGCTGAAAACGAAGAGCAGAGCAGGATTAGTGCCCCTGACTCACACAGCGCCGCTGCTGCCGTGAGTCACACGCCCAGCTCCCCACGAGGCATGTGCCACATTTCTTGGGAAGTAATAGCCGGCAGCTTGGAACATCCCAGGCACTGTTTCATCCAAACAGCTCTTGGATGCATGTCCTGAGTAAACAGACCTCAGTCTTTCTCGTCATCTTACTGCACTAGGCTCGCAGATTATTCATTAGATCCTCTTGTTTCGGGGTGTTTCTGAATTCCAGCAGCTCCTATTTTCCTAAGACCTTTTGTGCCAATACACTGCAATTAAAGCTCCATCAGTTTCTATAAAAATGCTGGTTTGAAGGCTTCTGTAAACCAGAAGTAAAATCTCAGCTCAAATTGAAAGATGAATGAGACTCAGACCGTCTGACAGTCATATTTGAGTTCTTTTTCCCTCATTTGAGAAATGCTCCTTTCCAAACTGAAGTATGTCTGAAAGACTTTGTTCTCCTTTAAAACTTAGTGCCCTCAAAGCATGTGCTCTTTGATTAACCAGCCTTAGTATCTGTGCTCCTGAGGAGCTTTTCCTCCAAAGCACTTGGGAGGGGGTGGGACCTACACCAGAAAGCTGCTATTCCACTCATGGATGATCAAGTGAATGAACCTTAATTTCCCACATAACAAACAATATCAGCACAACTTGTGCTCCAGGGCACTTCCCAATTTATTTTAATGACAGAGTGGCTGATAGCATCCTGTCTACATAAATGTTTTCATGCCATAAAACCCCTACTCTGTGATTCCACTTGGGGAGGTTTTGTCGTAGACCTCAGCAGGGAGAAGTGGCCCTCCCCTGAGCCCTACACGTCAAAATGAGAAATGCTCTGTAAATGGAGGTCCCCACTGAGCCTTAAAATGGCCTCACTGGTTGTGTGTTTAATCCTCCTGGGTGCTGTGCATGACAGAGTAATTCCTCATAAAATTTCAAGCACACCCTTGATGGCAGACACGTGACTGGAAGTTCCTTGCCAGAAAATAAACTCACGCATGGGTGGTGCAATGCCTTGAACTGCCCAGCCCCAGGACATTTTGCTGCAGTCTAGGCCAGCCTAACTCCTTCCCAGTGGAAGGCAGATCCCTCCAGGAGGAGGTGTTTGCTAATGTGCTCCCCTCAGGAAGTTATCCCTGGGTTTTGTCTCCTACAAGCAGCTCCCTTCCCTTGGCCACATTTGTGTGGTACCTGGTGGACTCTGCAAGGACATGTCCTTACTGTTTGTAGCACACACCTCTCCCCAGCCAGGTGTACTGGATGTGATTCTCATGATAATGATTATGCCATAAGCATTCCTGCTGTTTGGGAATTAAGCTGCAGTTTAATTACAACGTTTGGCATATTCAGTCATAATATTTACTATATCAAAGAGATATGTAGAGTTTACCTCTTTCATAGCATCATCTATCTGTTTTAATCCCTCGTAGTGGTCCCTGGATTCCCACAGGGGCTGGAGCATCACCTCCTCCACTTCTGGGAATAGCTAGGTGAAAACAAGAGAAAGAACATCAACATTTCCTGTTGCATTCATGAACTTCCTACATCCTTTCATAGTACATGCTAAAAAACAGGGAGGAAGGCAGGGTGTGAACGGCGCATCCCCATTTCCCTGGCTATGTGAACACCTGATGGAGCAAACACTGGAGCTCTGCATTGTCCCCTTCTGCTTCTGGCCCTGGGTGTCTTACCTTTGTTACTGTTTCAAACATGGGGATGAGGACGAACTTCAGGAAGCCGATCTGTGCCGTGGGCTTGGTCACTTTGTCGCGGTCCATGAACGGCGCCACTGGAAGACCCTCGGATTTTTCTCGGTCGCTCTGGAACGAATCCAAAATTAAAAATATAAATCTTGGCTAGAAGCCTGTGAGGAGAATGAAGTACTGCTGATCACAAGCTAAAGAGCAGTAGCCTTCAGACGCAGATCACAGAGGTGTTTGAAGGTAGCACAGAGTAGCAACGTGCTTCCCTCAGGCCAGTGTATCTGCTTTGCTGAGAGCAACATTTGGATAAAGACAACTCTGCTCAGTTACTTCTACTCAGCACTAGCATGAAAGTGTTCACCCCCAGGCTTACAGGGCATCTAATTCCCTTTGCAAGCCCACTGAATTTGTGAGATGAAATATTTCAGAGCATCCAGAAAGGTGGTAATGGCTCTTGTTGCTCTGAAAGAGGAGGAGTAGGTCTGTAATTTCCTCATAATTCTCCAGAGAGTGATTATTTTCAGCTATTCAAGCAGAAATTACATCTCCTTCTTTACTAATGATTAGAAGTAGTTCTGGCTAGCCAGGTCAACGCAGAGTAGTTCCACTGAGTGCAAAGGGTTTGTCAAGCTACCTACTTAACCACATAACTAACTATTTCTAAGTGGGTTCATGTGCAAGGAGGTCATGGACTGTGTGTGCAAGAAGGACACTGTAGTAGATTTTATCTCCCAGTTATTGGATCATTCAGCACATGGTGCCTTTGCTGGGTGGCCAAAACAGTAAGGCATGGAAATACTGTAATTTTGAGTGAAAAACTGGACATGCAGTGAGCTAGAAATGTTTCTGACACGCCACCCGAAATGTCTGTCTCTTGTGAGAAGCCCTCCTTGTCATGCAGCCGACCAAAGTACAGACAAAACACCCAGGAAAGCGGTGGCATCTGCTCCCCAGAGCACTGCAGCTGTGTGTGGGCTGGGATCCCACTGCAGCTCGGACATGCACCTCAGGAGCCCATGTGCCAGAGGCAGCCAAGGGCTGCTCACCCAGGGATCCTTTTGTAAGACACCAGAAACTGTGTTCAGCTGGGAATCCAGTGAGGAGCAATGTTTGTGAAGCTTTAAGTCTGACTCTCCATGCCCCAGCAAGTCTTCTGCTTCCTCTTTTGGGGGATGTTCACATGCAGTGAAAATAAACTAGTTCCTGTGTGATATTTGTTATAATTTACTTGACAACTTTGTCTTGCCACTGCTCTTGTCCTTTTTGGCTCAAAAATAATATATTTGTCAAAAAACCATGAGAGGCAGCTGCTTTACAGAGGACAAGCTTCAGCCTGCTGGCATTAGGATTTCTGGGTTGCTTTTGTCTTTCTTCTGAAATTTGCAATCAGTTGCATCCACTTGGCCTCTGAGCAGGTTCTCTTTCTGGCTTCCTTCTCTGACTTTCTCTAATAGAAGCCCTTCCATGGAACCACAGAATGGTTTGGGTTGTAAAGGACCTTAAGGATCACCTCATTCCAACCCCCTGCCATGGGCAGGGACACCTTCCACTAGTCCAGGTTGTTCAGAGCTAGAGCTGGACTGGGCTGTCAGACAAGGGAGCACCTGTAGCTGAGGTTGGGCTTCAGGAAAAGCAGAAAACTGTGCAATTGCATCTCTCCCTCCTTCTTACCTGCATAAAATACTCCTCTAGTAAACAATCCACCCAGGGCTCTGCTACTTCCATCGGGCGGACTTCGTTGGAGATATCACAGCATTTTATCAGCACCATCTTCAGCTGGAAGAGGATAATACTTTAATACTGCAATCCTGATGCCAGCCCTTTTCCCCCTATCCACAGCTTACAAGGCAGTGGGAGGCAATGCTTTCAACCAGAAAGGACAGTTTTAGGATTAAATCAGAGGTCTTAAATGATCTGGGCTCTTTTCCCCTCTCTCAGCTACTCTTTGTAAATCACTTTTTCCCCCTCTGGCTTGGTTTCCCTGCCTGTAGCACTGGGATGTGTCACAGGGGGACGTGCACTTATCTGCTGCCTGAAGATATTCAGGCACAAATGACCATTAAGCTTTTTGTGTAGCACTCAGAGGTAGCTGGGGAGAGATTTCCCCAGAAGTCAAAGACAATGGGATTGAGAAGTAAAGGAGTCTAGAATCTGTGCTCTTGTGGATATTTTTTATCCCACAGTAATGGACCTGATGGGACTGCAGGATTTCTAAAGCCAGAATAATCTGTTTTATATAGAGCACTTCCAAATTGTAATTATTTCTGGTGGGGCAGAGAATGTAGGAAGGATTCTTTTTTTGATATTATATATTGAACCTTGGTTTTTAAACAAACAAATATTAATCTAAAAGCTTTCACACTTATGCACAGAAAAATAACAATCCACAAAACTTCCTTACACAGGTCATGTGTTCTTCATTTGAGTAATCAAAATTTTCCATTTTTTCCTTGAAAGAGTCCAGTATTTCTGCGTGTCTCGCCATGTCTGTAGCCAGGATTAATGTAATTATCCCCTAGCAAAGAAAACATGTTCACATATTAACTTGACATTCTTTACAAAGTCTACTATTCCAGAGCTAAGCAGGGTCTTTCTTACACACGGAATGCCTCAGATACACTACATTGTTCATAATGAAAGGGGAAATTTCTGACTTGAAACTGTCAAGAAAACTTGGAAGAGGGTTATAAAGAGTTTATGGTGTATGAAAATGATGGTTGGATTGATCTGTAACACTGCTGTGATATTCCAGAGACACATTGAGGTTTTTCCTTTCTGATTGACTAATTGTAGAAAAGCAAACTGTACAACAGGATGTTAAAAGCCGCACTCTGATTGCCAAGATCCATTTTTGGCTCCTTGGAAGGAGCCAAAACTGTGGGTTTTGCTGCTGACTCTTAGTGGCCTGAATAAGAGACAAAAATCATGAGATGCAGATGTTGTCTGTGCTCATCCTCTTTGCACTATGGGCTTTGAAATACCTAGATGCAGTCAATGTGTTAGGAGCTCTGCATCCCCCTGCTAGGCAGAGTTTATGGTGTGAAAACGTGGTTAATTTAAAGCTGTGGATTTTCATACAGATTGATCAGTTCTGGGCCCAAGCCTGCTTCCCATGCCCTGGCAGAATCAGTAACTCCAACCAGACCAGTATCCAAGGCCTTATATTAGTCTGCTTTTCCATTTGGTGTGTAAGGAAGGTGTAATGTGGAAATTAAGATCAAATTTTGGCCCTTCAAGCCGTAATGGGAATTGTAGCATTGTTCACTGTCTCAGAGCTAACTGTGAAGACTCCCAGTCCACCAGACCCTCTTCCAACAGTACAAGTGCTCTGCTTTGCCCACTTTGTAGCCATTAATAAAATGTTCCCTTGAAGCATAAACTTCTACCATGACAGCTTAATCATTCCCCAGCCAGAGCTAATTGGCTCCTTCAAATAATATAAATATCTCCCCCCAAAATGTCATAGGCTTTAATAGTCAGGATGTACTCATTATTTCTCAGCAAGACATCCCAGGGAGTGCTGCTGCAGAAATTTTCCAAGAACCCCTCTTGGATCCTTCCAGTGTGAGGGGCTTTTTTCTGTCCTACCCCGTAGGGAGAGCGATTCACTCGCGGGGAAGTCCGTGCGTGTTTGCACCTTCAGGGACAGTTTGCACAGCCCAGACGGGAGCAGAATTCCTACCTGTCTTATCTGTTTGAATTGGTCCTGGTCGACATTGGAGAAGATGTTGTATTCCGGCTGGGAAATGATCTGGAAAGCCACGGCACAGTGGTGGTTCTCCAGCGGGGAGATGTCGTTGTAGCGCACGGCGAGCTCGGTCCGCGCGTTTATCTGGTAGCTGACGTGGAGAGAAACAGTGAGGACTCCTGCAGACACACACCAGCTGCTCTAAACCACGCTGCTTTCTTTCATTTACATCCTTTTCAAGGCTTATTCAACTAGCTGCAGTTTGGTTTTTTTGACTGTTGGTGCTAAATCAGATTTTTAGAGAAAATAGATATTACTTTAATATCATCTCAGGCACTAATTCCCCCACAGGGTTGGTTGTTGGTTTTTTTTTTTTCCTTCTTTAAATTTTACCAAATCTCTGTAGTTTAAAATGACATGGAAAAAAAATCCAGAAGGAACTGTCTGGGCTCCATTCAACCCCCACTAATATCAAATTGAGAGATTCCCACTGATCCCAGTCAGAATTGGGTTCTGCCTTTATTTAATGAATCGTTACAAATAAATTAGATTCTCCCTCTCTTTTTCACACACACGTACACGCACACAAAAGTGTGTGTGTGGGGCAACAACAATAATTTCCTCACATGATAATAAATAGAATGATATGACTTCATGATTTATAATCATGAAATAATGCATAAGTTAAATCCCCCTTTGCGTTTTAGTGTCATTATTCCGTTATAATGATTTATATCTCTCTAAACATCTGTAAAGTATTTTTTTTTCATTTGTTTTCTCAGGAAAACAAGGGGGCAAGCGCTGGAAGAAATCTGAAAAATCATTTTCCTTACAGAGCCAAGGACAGCTGGCAACCCCAACCCAGACCCGAGCTTGCTGCACGAAGCTCTGCCTTGGCCCACGTGTGAATGAACAGGAGGGCCTTGGGGAAAGGTCACGGCCAGCTGAAGCTGTGAGAAGGAAAACCTGATCTGCCAAAAAATGCCAACTGGTATTACCTTCCCAATAAATTTTAAAGGGGAGAGAAAGCAAGAGACAGACTTACGTGTTGTTATAGCCTGGATGGTCCAAGTCATGGCACACTGCTGCAGTCATGAGAATCAAGATGTCAATCTGGGAAAATTTCTCCTGTGAAATACAAAACATTAATGTAGTACTGTGATTTCTACTTCCCCTCTCATAATAAATGAAAAGAAGTATAAAATCCCCTTTATTTACTCTTTAGAGAAATGCAAATCTGAGCAAAGAGAAGTATTTTTCCATAGATGAATTTACTCCAGCCAAGAAAGAGAATTCTGTCTTCCCTTCCAGTAAAAATGACTCAGATTTGCCTTTGTTGCATTAAATAACAGCAGCTCAGAGAAGGCAATTTTCTTGAAACTTGCTATTACTGCAGAGATCATATGAAAGCACTGAGATATTAGAACAGTCTCTTACAAGTTATTTGAGCACCCTGATTAGTTAAGGGAGGGCTGGAGGGTGGCTCAGTTGCCATTGTGTTCTGCATTAATTAAAGTCAGGAGAAGAGTGAGAAAAATTAAATGTTGTGTTCCCACAGCTTCTGAATAGGATGAACTTCCACTAAAGCAAGATTTTCTTCATATTCCTACTGGCAGGAAAACAGATTTAACCCAGTAACTGAGGTGTTTAACTGCGGAGAAGAAAAGGGGGAATATAACTGAATAAAAGCAGTTTTGTACTGCTTTTATTATATTAAATTTTATTATTTTATTTTTTAAATTTTTAAATTTTATTATTTTATTTTATTAAATTAATATATGAACGTAGGTTATCCAGACAATGATATTAATTGATGCCTATAGTCTGGGACAAAGTACAGGCTGAATGTGAATCCTGCATACAGTGCACGCCAGGAATTATTTGCAGGAGCTCATCCAGGTGCAAGCACACATGTGGAGAACATTCTGTGTCCCAGATGAAGACCATACCCACAGGCCATAATTCATTAGGCTTTGGGATCTGATTCCTGGATGTTTCATGCTATCAGAGAGTCAAAAGAGCTTCAGTGTACAAACTGGGGATATCCAGGAGGTGAATTTAGCTTCCCAGCAGTCTCAGAAAGCTGTGTAGGTGCTTGGGGTCTGGAATGGGATGGATGAGTGGGCCCCACAATGGAAATGGGGTGATGCTGTTGAGGTGGGGTCATACCTGGAGTCTGCAGAGCGAGATCATGCTGTACATCATCTGGGTCACGCAGAAGCAGTGCCGGAAATTGTGGAAGGGGTTGTTTCTGTAATTGTCATGAATACACAGCTGCAGAGAGAGGGAACGAAGCAGTCAGGGACAGGAGAGCTGTTTCCCAGCCACCCTGGAATCACTGTATATCCCTAGAGGAGCCCTGTGGAGCCCAGTAGTCTTTTCTGCTTAGGACAGAGTGACAGCACAAGGCCCTCTGACACACTCTGCCTTCCTGGGGGGGAGGGGGAGAGATTTCTGTGTTTCCAGAATTATTCAGCAGGTAAAGCTCACAGCAAATTCTCTCTCATACCATCAGGCAATGGGTAAACATCCCAGCACAGCTGTAATGGCACCTCAGTTCTCAGACAGGACTCTATTCTCTTGTGCTGAATTTGTATTTCAAAGTGTGTGGTGGCTAAATGGTGACTTTGGGGAGTGTGAAGAACTCAGAGCACATCCCCATTCCCCTCTTTTGCTGAGTGCAAACTGCAGCTCTGAAATCCTGAAGGCTGAAATGGGGTTGTTACTTCATCTGCAAATGCTCAGAGGTGGCACTTTGGGGACGTGTTGCTTGGCAAAGTGAAGATGTGAATGCACTCACTGTAGCACCCCTACACCTGTGTGGATTTCCTAAGCCAGGCAGCACAGGAGAGATTTAGCTTTTATGGGCTCATAGGGCTGATTGTTGTGTGGTTTAACTTTCTACAGATCCTGGCTCTGTGCTCTCATTCCATAGGCAAGGTGAAGCCTGTCTTTCCCTCTGTCCTCGCTACTGTCAACCAGGCTGGCTGAGTGAAGCTGGCACAGCTGGGTTAACACATGGCACAGTCACTATTCCAATGCTCTGGATAGCCTTTGGTATCCTGTTCCACACAAAAAAGACAAGCACTGGCAGGACTGCTGGACCCTGCTGCTGAATCCTCTGTAGCCTGGACCCTAGAGAGCCCTTATGCACATGCTTCAGGTACTGAGCCTGACTCAATGTCATGGGCAGAATTCCTGTCCCTTCTCCAGTTAATACTGAATTTACTTCAAGAGTCCTCATACCCCACCAGTATCAAACCCTTTAACCTTGGATCTGCCTTCTAGCAAGCCTCAAAGCTCTGGATTAGATCAAGAGAACTGTGGGGTTTCACTGTTTATTTAATATTTGGGGGCTTTGTTGCAAATGCTGTTCAGATTATCCTGCAGCAAGGTTTTTAGAAATTTATTTTAAAATGAATAACTAATGGCACAGGATGGTTGGCAGCCAGGCTCACAGGTGGTGGGCAATATCTCACAGCCTCCATATGGACACCCTGGCTGTGCTCAGGCACTGCACAACACTGCATGGGTGTAATGTACACATCCAGCACTGGAGCCCAGGGCATCCCAGGGGACTCCTGACTCAGAGCACTGAAGGGATGGAGTGACTGGGCTGTATTAGTCATCCTTTCCTCCTCTTTCTGGCACATTTCTGTAGCCAGTGGATGTGAGAGCAAAAAAGCAAGTGTAGGCACAAGGTGGCTTTTTCCAACCCACTTAAGTTCACACTGATGCTGTTGCCTAAAATCAAGGCATCGATGCCCATAGTGTGCCTGGGGAAGTATCATAGCTGGAAGAAGAGTCCTTGGGGCTTTTTTTAATCATCTTTCTTTCTGCAAAGCTAGTGTTTAAGAAAGGGAACCTCATCCCATTTCTACCTTCGTAGAAAATACACAATAAACCCCCCTTGTTGTTCAGAAAGAATCTGTCTTGAATGCTGGTGGTAACAAATTACTTGGAGACACAAGCTAAAGGGAGCTGCCTGCAGTAATGCGTGTGGGTGGCGTGTTGATGCATGTTGACATATCACCTTGTTTCCCATGTTTTCAGGCTGTGAAACAGGAGGAGGAGATTTTCTGTTTTATCTACTCTGTGCCAGCCTTGTTTGTATTTGGTTTCATCCCACCCCTTCTGTTCAGCTGCTTTCTAAGACCGACAACACCGAGCTTTCCACTTGTCCTTCTCTGGGGAGATATTTCCTACATCTTGATCATTTTTTTTTGTGTCTCCTCTGAGGTAGTCATACTATTTCTCTAAAAAGGCTTCACCAGTGCTAGGCATAAATGTCAGGTGAGCCTTATGCCTTCTGTGGTGACATTTTATCCCTTATTCCAGACCCTGCTCAGCCCTGTGCCTGGTTGGCTTCACCCTGCAGCAGGACACCAAGCAGTGAGAGCCACTGGTGCTTCCTGCTCTTGCTGTGCTTCAACATGTGATGAACCCAGTGTTTCCTTTGTGTTTTCTAGCCACTCTCTGAATTTGTGGAATTTCTTCAGGCCTTTCTGGGAGTCTACATCCATCATGTAAAACAGTGCCCTCTATTCCGTGCAAACTCTCCGGGTAATTAGAAGAGATTAACGAGATGTAGGTCTTCACTACAGGACTGGTATGAAACATCTGTGTAATGAACTTCCCACCGTGATGTTTTTAATTATTATCTCAATCAATTTGTCAGACAGAGAGGGGTAAGTTTCAGTAGTTATAATTCTTCAGGCTATCCCTGGATCCTTTTTAAACAATGGATTAACGGATAAAATATTTCCTGTTCTACAGTTCTATAGGAACGTGATTTTTTTTTTCTAAGAAAGACAATATATTCTTCATCTTTTTAGCAAATGCTTTCTTATGCTCTTCCTTGTACCTGAAAACTTACTGATTTTTAAATATTCCAGTGTTTCTTCCTTAGACATCTCACTTTTGGTATTATCTCATCTTTATCACATCTTGCATCTCTGCAACATTCTCAACATTAAAGGCTGAAGCAAAGGAAGTTATTTAGCTTCTCAGCAATTCCTTTCCTTCCTGGCCTGCTCTTTTGCTCCCTGTGATTTAGTACATCTAAAGATTATTGGCTTTTTTTGCCCGTATCTGATGACACTTGTCTTGCTTCCATTTGCAGGAGGTACCAAGAGCATTCAGCAGAAATTAGTTGCTGTCAGTAAATGAAAACTCAGCAAACGAATGCAAAACAATTTAAAAAAAAAAAGTCATCTGTGACCACAAGAATGCAAACATTTTCTGAAGTACTTAAATGTTAAGAATTTGTGTAGACTGACTGCTATCAGTGGAATTACTCATGTGAGTGAAGGTAATTCCACGGCCAAATGTCTCATCTATTGATTTTTGAACGTGAAAAATTGCATATATAATTTGAAATACTTACCAACCACCTCTTCAACGTGATAGGATTGATGTTGAAGTCTTTTACCAGCCCGAGGTCGTGGTACATGTGTTCCAAACAGCTCAGCATCTGCAGCCAGGAACAGACAGGTTATGGCCTTGGTAAATATCCCTTTATGATACACTGCAAAGTGAATTTCCTCCTTGCCAGCATCGAATAATTGCAGAGCCCTCTCGTTACGATGAAAGAAGGATGTTCAAAGGTTTCATGATGAAAGACAGTGCAAGAGGGGAGACAGAGAGGGCCTGAAAGCTTTTTGAAGCAGGCATATTGCTGTTGACTTGGTAGATTTTGTGCAGGGCTTTGAATCACACCAGCACTCTTCAGTAATTTAGCAATTCCTGCTCAGGAAAAAGCGTTACCATTTTTCTAACTCAGCTGGGATATGTTCTAACGCTCAGTGAAATCAATGGGAGCTTTTCCACTGACTCCAAAGGCTTTGGCTGTACAGAAATGGATCAAGCCCTAGCTGGATAGAAAAATGACAGCAGAAAATAAGAGGTCCTTAAAGAAACATTTATTCTAGGCATGTGACAATACCATCTTTCTTTATGGTTTCTTGTCCTAATTCCACTATCTTAGCTCAGATCTCTTATTTAACGAAAGATCTCCTGTTATAACCCTATAAAATTGCAGCAGTTTTGTGACCGTTCCCCCTAGTCTGTAACTAGGAATCCCAATAGTTGAAATGCACAGGCAGGCAGCTCTTTTGAGGCAACATCTGCTCTGCAGGAGAAAAGGGGACGCAGGCAATTTAGCACCACCATTCCCGTTTAGTCATCTGGGCTTGAATGTATTGGAAAAAAAGATATTGATAATCCCAAGTGTTTGGGCATTTAACAGCAGCCACCAGTCAGAAACGGAACAGGCTTCCAGGAATTCAGGAGTTTGTGTGTCTGCATTTCCATTTCTAAAGGCTAAATCTGCAGGGGATGAAATGTAGCCATTGTATTAGAAAATGCGGTTCTTAGGCTGTAAAGCCATCCAGGAGTTTCCAACATGATGAATATAATGTCACAAATACAGCCCTGGAGATATTTTTTGAGTTAGTTTTCCATTTTCTTAAAAACTCACCAGAAAAATGATTTAATCTAATGAAACTTTATATTTATCCAGGGAATAAACATAATTCATGGGGTTACAAGTGGGCTGACTTTGAGTCATCCAAACAGGAAGAGACTTTCCTGCAAGACCTGAGGGACAGTGTCACAAACTGAATTTTGCTCAGATCACATGGACAGCATTTTGCTGAAGATCCCCTTGTCCTATTCCCAGGTAGAATATATGTTTTGCAATAGTTTCATAAAAGACTTTATGAGACAATAAACTTGATCCAGAAGGGCTGAATTATCCTCAGAAACACCTATATCCCCCCAAGAGAGCTTTGGGTGAGTGACAAGGTGACTCTAAGTCCCAAAGCTCTTGCCCCTGAACACATGAGAATCTCAGTTTTCATTTTTAGCTTTCTTGATGAGCAGCAAAAGCTTGAATAAGGGACTTTTTTAAGGCTTGAAAGTGAGAGGGCATTTGAGAAAGAGAACACAGGGTTTTTGCTGCATAGCTCTGTTTACTGAGATGCTGCAGAGCACATTATTCATTTGCTTACAGATGATTATGGTTTATGACCTGCCTGTCCCACACGTAGGCAAATGCTCATTGCTAAACAAGCAATTGAAATATTGACAGAATTGAAATGTTCTCTGTAAATACAAACCAGAGCTAAAAGGGTGAGATAAACCCCTATGGTGCTCAGCTCAGCAGAGCTTGTGTGGAGTCTTATTTTTGAGCAGCACTCCTCCTTGCAGGGCATGCCTAATCCCCATGCCCTCTTGTTAGCCTCCTTCATGCCTCCATATAGTGTTTTCTAGTACTCTGAATGAGTTACTGTGCTAAAATATTATCCCTCAGCACTCAAGAATCCGTGGATAATGGTTTTTGTTTCTCCTTATTCTTTCTTAATAGTCAGGACAATGAGCCAACAGTGTTATGGTCCACCTGTCAGAGTGTAATTCCTTCTTGCTGCAAAGACCTGACAGGAGTTTAAAAGCTAGGGGCAAGGCAGATGCATGGCCTTGGTACAGAGAAAAGGGGCTGGAGAGGGGGCAGGGGCTGCAGAGCACCTCTGACCACACGAGGGAAGCTCTGCCAGCCTCTGCAAATGGGAGATGGACCTCAAGCCATCTTGAGTCCTTCTCTTGTTCTACCAGACAGAGGAAATATCCTGAAGGGAATATGATATTCCTGTGGATGCAGTATGGGGTGTTTTTTTCCTTGTCATGTTGGACTACAGGTGCTGAGCCAGAGTGACTCTTGTATGCACAACATCCAGTTGAGAAGGTGATTAAGGAGACTGGTGCTGGGATTGCTGCTGGAACCACCCAAGCCTCCCCTTGGGAAAAACCCAGCACTGAGTTTTTCCTGAGGGAGATTTGATTATATTTGCTGAACCCGAATTTACATAAACTGTCCCTTCTTAGTATCCTTCTCCTTCATGTGTCTACAGAGGTTTGCACAGAACGTCCTGCAACACAAGTGATGGACCATGAATAATACCAGTAGCAGTAACAAAAAGAAGAAAATGAAGCAAAAAGAAAATGCTAATTGGCCGTGCAGACAGCTTTGCAACCTCTTCAGAACACACTTCAGTGTGATTCACACCCCTTGGCTGAAGGGGTGTGAATCAATGCCTGAACCTCTGCCTGCTGCCTTATTGATTTGAGTGGAGTTATTGATGATGTGCTTAAGCACACACTTCGCTAGGGATTGATTTGTTCAGATAAAATGGCATGAGAGAACTCATGTGTCAGTAATAATAGTGCATCAGTTGTGGGACATCACTAGGAAGGGACTAAATTAAAAATAAAGAGGAATCAGGATATGATAATCAGTATAATCTGCCTTGCATCTGTTAGGAAAAACTACTGTACATAGTTTGTGTGACATGAAAATAAAAGAAGTATAGAGAGTAGGCAGCAGAAAAGGGGGAAAGCACTGCAGACTGTCTCTCTTCTGGCCTTGTTGATTCTCAGAAAGTTAACTAAGCCAGCTAACGAGGCATCCCTACCTCGTTGGGCTCCCACAGCCAGACGTCAAAGGTTGGTTTCCGAAGTGCTTCGATGGTCTCCTGGGACAGCATGTACTGCAGACAAAAAGGCACTTGGCATAAGTAGGGCTGTCCCTGGCATGGGACCTGCTCTTGGAATGTCTCTGGGAATCACGGGGTTCCTTTTACGAGGGGTTTAGCCCATATTTCCCAAGGATGTCTCCCAACTGTCTCCCCTCTTCCCATCCAACCCTCCCCACCCTTCCCACCAGCTGCTCATGGTCACGCCAGGATGTCCATGCCTGATGGATGGAGATCCTTCTAGAGCAGAGAGGTGCAGGGTTTGGGAAAAAAGGGAGGAGAGCAGAGAGGTGTTACGGACAGGGAAGTGAGTAAATCCAGCATGGTAATATAAAAGACACAGATCCATCCCTGTCTGCACTGGTTCTGCTGCCTGCAGAGCACGTCTGGTTCTGCTGCCTGCATCCAGTTATGGCTGGATGGTGTGAGGTGTCTCTGCTTACAGTGTTAAATTAGCTGGTGGGTATGATATATTTATTTTCAGATGATTTATGCTCTCGTTTTGAGTGTTTTTTTCGAGAACGCCCACAGTTTCAAATTGGTTGTCAGCCTGAAAGATTCGAGTGATTTTTTATCATTACGCTCAGAAGCTTAAAACAAAATCAAGCTCATTCACCAGTTACAATTGCATACAAAATGAAAACAAGGAACATGGAGGGTTAAAAGACATGGGGAGATCAGGGCTCCACCATTCATCTTTCCAAGACTCCATTCATCAGAGTCATTCTGGGACTCAAAAACCTTGTGGCTTTGATTGTGCCATTTACCATGGCTGTCCCTAGTTTGGGATTATTGTCCCGAGAGGGTGAATGACGTTTTCTGAGCCAACAAATTTTTTGGTGCTTAATCCTAGGAGGAACATCTCTGAAGATCAGTTTTCCTTCTTGAGAAGGCAAGTCTTGCTTTTGCCTATATAATGTGCATTCATTGTGACGTTCTGCAAGAAAACTGCAAGTTAGCAGTACAGATTTGTTGCTGTGTACAAGATGTAAGTGTCATAGTGACATCTCCCTTCAGTGTACTCACTGCTCCCCAGACTCACTGGCACGGGACAAATCCAGCACCTGACAACTGATGACAAATTTTGCAAATCTCTCCAAACAGAACCCAAACTTCTAAACCCAAAATTCCCGTGAGTTTTGGTCTAGGGGTAGTACAAAAATACAAACTAACTGTTGTCAGTTCAAGATCCTAATATCAGAGCAGTACATCAAGGTTTGATCTGATATATATACTTATCCAGGGGAAAAAAAAAATCTGATTTAGAACTGATATGTTTTGTGAAATCGTGTGTTAGTGTCAGGAGCACAAGCCTCTCGGGCAAAAGTTAATTAAAAGAAATATAAGTCCCATGGTCTTTGCTTCAGAGACCTGGAGGTCACTTTTGCCAGACAGAGCAGAATAAACAGCAGAATTTACAGCCTGTTGCTCTGTAAGGCTCTGAAGGCCAATATGCAAGGATTCATGTCCATGTCACACACCTGCATCACACGAGGATTTCAGAGTGGCTGAGCCAGCTTTGATGTGTGCAAGCCCATGGTTCAACTATGATTTGCACACGTGTGAGCTGGTGTTTTGTCAAGCTGTGACCTGGGCACTGAGCAGACACAACCTGGCAGCTTTGAATAACTCCTGGGGGCAAAGGCTGCTGGTGCTGGGACCAAAAATCCTGTGTTCTTCATGGTTTCAACCTCATTCATCACTCTGGATTTGTACTTGTACTTGCCCAGGAGACATTTTTCTTCCAGTGTTACTGTTTTCTCCAGCAAATACACTAACTCATTTTCACAGGGACAATGAATCATTCCGGAGAGAATCCAATGTCGCATTTTCTCTTTGTTTCCCTGGGTGAAGCATCCCCATAAATTACTTTTTAAATTAAAAAATAATCCATTAGGAGAGAACAGGAAGGAGCACTACTTTCAATTAGAGTACAACATTGTAGGGTTTTTTTGATTGTTGCTATGAGCGTGGAGAATAAACAAATATAAACCAGACAAAGGAGCGTTAAATGTTGACGAATGCAAAATGTTCATTAACATTTCAAACACTAATGAGCCTTCAAGTATTAAAGACTACTGAGGATTGAACTTTAAGTCACTGCAGGCAACTGACAGCTCACAGGGGTTTTGGATCAGGCTTTTGGATTTAGAGTAACTAGGAGATAATGGGTAGGGAGTTATGCACTGAAAAGCAGAGCTTGTCAGGATGGCAACCATGTAGTAGGATTTTGGGAAGAGGAAGCAGTGAGTGGTACCTTTGGGTAGGATGGTACATCCCTTCGGGGAACCGGTCTCTTGTTTTCATCCAAAAAGCTGTACTTGCAGGGACAGTTAGTCCTGAAATGAAATATTCATCTCTTTGCATTTTGGGAACGGAAACACAGTGCCTTGAAAAACGCTGGAAGTACTCTAGTCTCTCAGTAGGCATCTCAGAGAATTACCCCACTCCCCAACCTCTCCCTTTCTAATGTGGTGCTGCTCAAATGCTTTAAAAGTGTGATCCTCTTTAGAATTTTCTTCCCTTGTGCAACACCTCTGTTGTCCCCTCTCCATCTATTTGCATTCAAGGGAGGAGGGTCTGTGTATCCATGGATACTCAATCACTTCTATTGAAACCAAGTAACTTTCAGTGCTGTCCATGGCAGGCATCCTTCTCCAAGGCTGGTAGAGCCCTACCAGGGACCATGCTGGGTATGGACACTGGCTCACCTGTGCTTATTTACTAGTGCAGGCACCCACTGAGCCTTATTGCAACCCAGCTCCAGGACTTGTGAAAGCTTGGGTAACACCATCCATTTTGATGGAATGACCATCTTGCCTGCTGCCTTTCATGTGGGACAACAGCAGTGAGGCACAGACTTGGCAGACACGTCTGCTTGGCTCCCCAGTCCTGGAGGAAAGGAGTCACTGCCAGAAATTACAGGTAATTAACACTTGCCTGGTTATTAACACCAGCACCCACTGTCAGTTAGCTTTTCTTCCGTCCTCTGCATATTGAAAAGCCAAGCTGAGCAGAGGATCAGGGGAGACCTCATCACTCTCTACAACTCCCTGAAAGGAGGTTGTAGCAGGGTGGGAGTCGGGCTCTTCTCACAGGTAACAAGTCACAGGAGGAAATGGCCTCAAGCTGCAGCAGGGGTGGTTCAGGTTGGGCATCAGGAAGAATTTTTTCATCAAAAGGATTGTCAAGTATTGGAAGGGGTTGCCCGGGGAGGTGGTGGAGTCCCCATCCCTGGAGGTGTTCAAGGAACGACTAGGTGTGGCACTCAGTGCTCTGGTCTAGTTGACAAGGTGGTGATTGGTCAAAGGTTGGACTTGATGACCTTGGGGGTCTTTTCCAACCTAAATGATTCTGTGATTCTGTAACTGGTGGTGGGAGACGCCCAACATCCTTAGAGCCTTCAAGAACATCGAGGTGCTGCGCTGCAGTAGGAGAGCAGTTTCTCTCCTTACAGCCACAATACTTTAACACAGCATGTGTTTCCCAGGTATTTGTTCACATGGGCTTTATTAACTCTCCTGTGAGGCCAATCTGCTTGCCTTTTGCAGTTATAGAATCATGGAATGGTTTGGGTTGGAAGGGACCTTAAAGATCATCTACTTCCAAATTCCCTGCCATGGGCAGGGATGCCATTTACTAGATCAGGTTGCTCAGGGCCACATCCAACCCAGCCTCAGACAGTTCCAGAGATCTATCCCCGAAGTTCTAACATTTGGATTATCCTTTCTCATTTTTCAAGCCTCCTGCCAAAGGAAGCAAAAAGAACCCCCCCAAAAGAAGCCAAGCAAAGCATTCCGCTAACTTTATTTGTCCCTTTTATGACTATTTCATATATTCTGTATTACACCTCTTTTTAGTGCTTCTCTCCTCTGTTGGGAGTTGGTCCATGTGTCTTTTCTTAACATTGATGTCTGCTGTAATTTCTGGTGGCAGTGTCTGAATTCTGTGAAAGTTGTGTCATCTTACAGTTCATGGTGGTCAGCTGACTTCAACCAGCTGCCTTTTCCTGCCCTGTTTAAGGAGATTCTCAGTTGGTGAAAAGCTGTCTTAATCGTTTCTAAAGCTGTTTCCTCAAAACTCCACTGTGTGGGGTATTAGTTGGATAAAAATATTGAAATTGGGGCATTCCTTGCCCTAATTGGAGCTGACTACCAGGGTTAGCTGAGGGTCAGCCAAATATCTCTAATTCCCAGCTGTAGCGAGATATTGGAGCCTTCATCCCAGCACACTGGGGAACACACCAGAGCCAGGATGCATCAGACCTTTACAAATGTAAAACTGTATCTGCAAATGATCATGATTTTAAATGACACTATAATGCTATTAGCATCTGCCAGTGGAGAGTGCAAAAGGCAGACAAGCAGAAAGAAAGCAATTTGAGGGGATGCAAACGAGGTTGCTCTGCTCTTCCGAAGAGGAGAGATGCACAACTCACTGTGCACGATGACTTTTATAAACCCGGCTGTTCAACCTTACTCTGTCATTTGGTAACAGCAAATATAGGAACAGGTAAACATACAGGAATACAGCTGTGTCCACTCTGATGTCACTGAAGGAATAGATGCACTCACACATATTGATGAACATTAATTAAATTCGGATGTGATCCCTGATTGCAGCTGCAGTGCGTTATCTAGCAAATGACACTGTACAGGGGATGACAAGTCTAAATAGGAGCAAATACATTTCCACTTGCCCTGGGACGCCTCTGTTCCCCTACTTATCTCATGCCAAGGGGAGAGAGCTTGCTCAGCTTTCTCTGATGTGAAGCATCCCTAGGCTGGCGTCACTTTAGGCCAGTGGCATGGCTCCTGTGGAGTTAAGGTAGCTTGGGAATAGGGATCCACAGCTCATTCCCATCCTGCTGCTGCTTGGAGACCCAAACCCTTAGGGTACAGGTAATCCTGGACAGAATTCTGGGCAAGGAGGAGAAGCTTCTGTGCAGCTGGGAGGAGGAAGACCCAGCTCCAGGTAACCAAGAGGAGCTGTGACAGGCAGCTGCCATAATGATGTGACACAGAGTGACTCAGAGCAGAGCGAGCTGGGCTCCTGCTTCAGCAAAACCAGCTGTGCAGTGTGAGCTCAGAGCAAGCCAGTGTGGGTGTCTGTGCCCAGAAATACCTGCTGATGAGCTCCACACCCATTTTTACCACAGCTTCCCAGCCTCACGCCCCATGCTGGTCTCTGGCTTTCGTCATATCTCACTCTGAGCCCTTGGCGAAGACCACACCCCAGCTGGAGCCAGCTGCACTGGGAACAGGTAGCACTCCCCATTCTGCCTTTTCTTGGTAACAGATTACTGTTTATACTACAAAACATAGACTGCAAGGTGACAAGACCTGAAAAACGAATGAATCATGGCTGCTGAGACAGTCTCGTACTTCCCGAAGTGTGTGGTGGCAACTCAGCGAACACAAAGTTGCCATTACTTCTGGTTTTGGTCTTAATTTTCTATCCACCTGTGCATCACTGTGCTCTTAAGTGCAGCTCTCCCAGCTCCCTACAACAGCTGAAGGAAGGACAAGTGGACACATGCCTTATTCCCATCACTGCCAGCACATATCAGCACACGTGTTTCGCGTCTGCTGCCAACCCGAGCTCTGAGTTTTCTGACGAGATTTCCTCACACGCCTCAACAAGAGATGGTGCAAGTCACAGGGCGAGCTGCAATCCGCCCTGCTGGTATAAATCTGGGGCAGACCTGGGGTTAATAATGTTACTCTGCGTTTATGCTAATATGACAGCTGAATTTGGCCTCAGACTTAATGGGAATGTATTATTGTTGTGCCTCCTGACATGTCTGGATAACAACATTTATAAAAGCGAGTGATTATAAAGTCCGAATCTTTTAGTGAATCTCCTACTACCCTCAATAGGAAACAGTTTTGATTAAAGGTCAGAGAGTTTGACCCCAGATGAAGAAAATGAGAGAGGCTGTCAAGACAGCATATTTCCATTTGCTGAGAAAAATCCTCCTCAGCCACATTTTGAGGAACATGGTGTATCCCTCCTCAGCAACCTTCCCAGAAGTATTCCTAATCTCACAGTGACAATTTGTTTGTCCTAATGGGATATTTCAGTGACACAGGGGGGCACTTTCCAGCAGAGAACACGTACTGTACAAAATGCAATTTTTTTCTGCTGGTGTTTTAATTACAGTGAAACCAAGCTTCACAATCACCGTGAGCCCCTGAATTAGAAAGCAAATTCCCAATTTCTTGTTGAATTTGAAATGGATGATTTATAATAGCATGAGATCATAATTAGAAGAGCTGCTACATATTTATTTGGTATTTTCCCAGAACATATTGGAGTGTTAGCTGGTTCTCAACCAAACGCTGCACTGAACAGAAGTTCTTTTCCCATTCCCTCTCTCCCAGTAAATCTGGATGAAGAATTCCCACTCTGTGAAAAATAGCTGTTGCAAAACCTTTCTCTCTGTTCCCATGGCCCAAGCTAATTTAACTGATGAATGGCTATAGATCTTCAAATGTTAAATTAAAGCCACTGTCCTTAATGATTATCAGTTTCCTCGCTCTTTTACTTCTAAGCCCAGAAGGTAACTCAATTCTGCGGAAATGTTGCATTCGGGTTTGAAACCAGATCCTTATTTCTGTGGTCAAGTCCAAAGCAGAACTTACCTGCTGCTTCTTGCTGCCATTTCCTCCCTCATCTTTTTAATGTCGCGCTTGCATTTCTCAATCTCCACCACTTTCAGGCCTTCCACTGTCAACAAAGGAAAACAACAGGGGTGTTACCATGGCAAAAGTCGCGGGATCTCTTTTCAAAGAGCTTTAAACAGTGGGGTTATCCAGTGAGCCAGCAAGCCCTTACAGACTGCCTTGGTTCTCACACATGCAGGTGCTGCCAAAGCGATATATCTTGGAAACCCACAGGAATTCTCCGCTGCCAATTTAGTTAATAGCCACAGTATTTTTAATTCACAGAATGGCTACAACGTCTCAGCTTTTCCAGGATTGCTAGCAGCAGCCGGCTGTTCTGGTGCCTTCACTTCTCTGCTGTAGAACACGAATCAAAGGAAATCCTGAGCAAAAAACCCCTCCCGCGATGGGATGATAAGCGCAGGCAGACACGTCCCAGTAGGATTAGAATTCCCATTAAGAAATAAGGTTTTAATTTGAAAGTTCACGCAGAGCATTGAGGAGCTCTGGGCTGCGTTGCTAGATACAGAAAAAAACAAAGTGAGAATGCGGGAGGGAGAGAAAAAAGCTGAAAAGTTTTGCTCTAATGATTGATTTCTCTCTCCTTTTTTTTTTTTTTTTTTTTTTTTTTAGGTATTGAAAACCTGTCACTTTGTTTTGCCGATCAATTTTGTAATCAAAGGTTGCTTCTGCATGCGGCTCAAAAATCCTATATTTCCCTTCTGTACGTAACTGTGAGAGCCACAAGGCAAAAAGTTTGATTGCCTGTTTATGCAGCACACACTTTATTGTAGCCACGAGAACCCAACTCAGTGTGAGTATGGGTATTCTCCCTTTTCTTTCCCCCTCAGCTGGAGTATCACTGTGCTCAAGGACATAACACAGCACCATTTATTACGTATATGTCATTCATATGCACTCATTTCACAGCTCATTTGTTTACTGGACTCACTGTTTGCATGGACAAGCTGTGGTTCAGGGAACTCCAGGGAATGTGCAATCGGACAATCAGTATTCAGTAACCTTCTTGGAAAATCACAGTCTGAATCACACTTATCTGGAGAGCAGCATGTAAGTGATAAAAACCTGCCTTGAAGGGCACAACTCTGTAGATAAGCAGAGACCTGAGTTTTGTTTTTGTTTTGCCAGTAACAGCAAAGGTTGCTGTTGGAACTGGGAAAGGGGAAAGAGATGTGTATGAACCAAGCCCAAAATACTAGGAGAGGAAAGGGAAAGGGGTTTGATTTATGCTTGTTTAAAGGAATACACTCTGTTTAAAAATCCCATGTACAAATTTATATTTTTTTGCCTATCATTGTTACAAGCAATTTCTCTGGGTGATCACAATGTGATGACACAGGTAAGTTGCTGTCCTGCTTGTTCAAGATTTTTGTTCTGGCTACCTGGCTGCACTTTTCTGGGGTACTTTGTTCAACTGCTGATGATCAGCTCCAGCTAAGCCACAGGCCCCTTGCTGCTGTGTGCCACCTTGGTTCAATGATCCAGGAGAAATTCATGGGTATCCCATTTGCCAAGCAGTCTAAATGGTGTCTGGTGCCTGTTTGAAGCAGTGGGAGCAAAGCAGAGTTACCAGAGTGACAGGGAATTGGGGCAGGCAACTGCAGGGAGGAGTCCTGGTGCAAAATGGCAGCCCTGAGGATTTTTTCGTGTTGCATCTCCTTGGTTTTCATCCCAAGCCTCTCCAGGGGAGCAGAGAATTTACATAATTATTTTCTTAAGGTAGATGTGAGATGCTTACAAATTGCAAAGGGCTTTTGCCAGCTTCCTTATTCATGTGTGGGCTGCTGTGCAAACACTGGAGCAGAGTGAGTGAAGCCACGGGACAAAGTATTCCCAGTGCTTGCTCGGCGTGGACTCATTTTCCAAGGGGAAGTGACAAGCTTTAGCTGGGATTTAAAAATCAGTTAAAGAATTTGGCTCCTTGAAAACACATCTCTGACGTGGTCTCTAGGCAGGAATGGGAAGGAAGCTGAGAACATTCCATGTGAGGTGCAGATGTAGCGCTGTCATGAGCACTTATCCCCACACACACGTCCCCTCTGGGGAAGAAATCCTGGAGATCACATGTGAAAGTGGTGGAAAAGGGATCTCTGAAGGAGGCAGGAGTAAAGGCAAAATAAAAGCACGATTCTTTTCACATTTGGCTTGCAAATGATAAATGGCCTTGTCATGTGCACTGATTAAGGGGCCATTATATTATTCTGCAGCAAGAAATACCTTCTGAAAAGACCCTGTGCTGTCTAAATAAATCCTTGGGCTGAATCCAGCAATGAAACATGGCTCTTAAAGCAACCTCTGGGAGCCCAGCTCGAGCAGGGAGGTTGGACACTCCCTTTCTCCCACAGTTTTGCTTTTTAGACACGACAGCCAGGGATTCTTTCAGAACGCTGCAGATTTAGCCCCATTGCAAACTCTGGAAGTCCAATTTCAAGCAGATGGGTGCACTTGTAGACTTGCAACCTGGGGAGCTCCTTCCTTCCCACAGGCTGAGCCTGCTGGAGCTGGGACTGGGAGTGCTCAGGGAATCTGGCAGCAGATTGGTACATCAGATGCTAATTCCATCAGCAGAGAGAACCCTCGTTTGGGGACCAGGGAATTCAGTTCACCTGCATGGCACAGCAGCTCCAGGTAGGCTGCCTTCCCTAAACGAGCAATAAATTGCTGGAGTGTGCACGTGCACAAGTTTTCCCTGCTGGCAGTGTCACGAAGTCCTTCCTTATCTCCCTCCACTGCCTTGGGCTGCCAATGCTGAAGGGCAGCATGTGTACCAGGGATCCCAGGGGATCACCAGGGGTCAAAAGCAGCCCTTATCTGGCTGGGATGGTTGCTTCCCTGTGCTGCCAAGGAGATAGAAATACCCACAGGAACATTTGCCTCATTTGCTCTAGTCCATGGCATTTAGCTCTGAGCACTGGAGCTGGTCAGAAGTTTCATTGAAAATGCAGAGTGACTGAGCTAATTTCTCTCCCCCCCCCCCTCCACCCTCTTTTGGATAAAAGAATAAATCAGTGGAGCCCTGGGAAAAACAGCAGCCAAACAGACAGGAGGAATTCCTAATCAGGCTTTCTGCTGGGTGTAGGCACACTGCAGGCTACCCCCTCCATGGACATCCCACAGCACCAGGAGCCTGAGGCTGGGCTGGCTACAGGGAGAGGTTCCCCTGCAGCTGCTCTTCGAAGAAGGACATTTTTTCCCTCTCCCTGCTGACAAAAGCATCAGTCTCACTGAGCAGCTGCAGGGTCAAGGTACCTTCTGGTCGGGGGAAGTTTCAGGAAAACAACTTCTTCCATGAACCAGAAACTTTTTCTTCTTTTTCTTTCTTTTTTTTTTTTTTTTCCCAGCCAGCTCTAGTGGGAAAGTGCTTTCTGCAGCTGCAGTGCTGGGAAAGGCTCTGCCCACTCCTGACTCCAGTGCTGTGCATCTGCAAGGATGTGGCCTTTGGAATCGAAATGGTGCTGGGTGACAGTGCCTTATTCACACCCCTTCCCCGCCTCTCTGAGACCTATGTTAGGCATAATATACTGAAAAGAACTCAGATGATACACAGGGAGGGGGGGGGAAACCAAATGAAAAACCAGAATAGGAGCTCTTTGACCAGGTGAATTTAACTTGGTTGTCGCACAGTAACAACGCGGTCGTGTTACGATGCAAGTATCCGACTGTGAGGGAAGGAGGGCAGTGGTGTTACCCCTGGAATTGCAGACCAATTGCCCCAGTGAGTGCTTTTAGGGACCACGAAGTGTGTGTGTAGAGGGATGGAGGGTCACTGCTGGGTGCAGGGAGGTGACAGGAAGCTGGGTCAGGGGGGACATGGGAGGACAGACCAGGGGGCTGGGATGTGGAAGATGGGGAGGTGGGCAATGGAGACCTTCTGCCACAGGGACATGGGAACACGTGGCCCTGGGCCCAGACATCAGCAGAGGGCTCGGGAGCCCCTCAAAGGGGAGGCTGGGAGGTGATCTGGACACTGGACACCAGCCATCCCACCCTGTCCTCACCGTGCCACCACAGGCTCCCACCATCCCCACGCCTCATCCCACGCTGGCCTGCAGACTTTTGGGCTCAATTGGGCCAAATTATGAGGGATTAGGAAAACAGAGGGGGCTGTGATTATAGCAGAGGTGATTCTGAGGCACCGGTTCCCACTGCAATAGGAATAAAGGGACACTCACATTCAACCTTTTTCTCCAGCATTGCCAAGTGATTAGCTACTTCCGTTTTCAGCTCATTGATTTTAAAAACCCTGAAAAGAAAACCCTCATGTATTAATGTTATACATTTAGTGCTGCACCTACCCTAGGTACTAAAGGACTTCTGCTAGAAATGCCTATATTTTTTCAGAGGATGGGGTCTTCCCAACCATGGCTGCCACAAGGAACAGCAAATTTTCCATGGAAATGCTAACATTTGGGCAGAAAATACACCCGGGTTTAATTTGCAGAAAAATTAACAGCCAATGATCTTTTTATGGCCCTGGGAATGTACTGTGGCTCTGCAACACTTCATCACCCCCTCTCTCAGCAGTGAGTTGCCATTGTAACCCCCCAGGGAAGCAAAGTTAAATTGATAATGCTTCGTCTAACAGCAGCGTCTTGGTGTCTGCACGCTCTGAAGCCCTCCTCCTCTCCTCCTTTTGAGTTACACTGGTGATTTGCTGAGCTGTGGTGGGATTGATCTGTCTTATTGAAACCAGCTGGAATGAAATAAGCAGCTGTACAGATGTTGAGAAATCCTCTCGGAGGAGGGACATTTTTGGGTGATAAAGGGGAAAACGAAACAAATCAGATTATTCGACTGTTCAATGAATGAGCATTTCTTTTGCTTCCTAAGAGGGAAGGAGCACAAGAAGAATATTTATATTTCCTACTTCATCTCCTTTTCAGATCAAAGATAATCACCAAAATCACTTTTGGTTTAAGCTACTGTATTGCTGTCAGCAGGAAATAACACGTGTCCCAGACCTAAATTTGGCAGACAGAGTGGGATTTGAAAGAGGTCTTAAATGCCCCTCTGCCTCCTGTGAAAATTTCACTTCAGGCTGATAAAAGAAATAGCATTTTAAATTAATAATGATGTTCAACTTCTTACCTCGAGAACTGCTCTGCAATCTGTCCCAGTAAATTCTGGAACAATTCTTCTTTCTCTGAAAAAAATCAGAGGGAGGCATAATAGAAAAACAGAGGAGAAAGGATGCCCTCAGCTCCCCTGCAATGTGGTGTCCCCAGGCTTCCAGCTCTGGTGGTGAGGCATTTTGCCAAAAAATTGCTCTGGTCCTTTGAACAGTGACAGGGCTTGGGAATGACTCCTTATCTCACCTGCAGATTACAGTCAAGGGCTCTGGGTCCCTGAGAGCTGGCTTTCTTTAAGACAGCACTCTTTGGATAGGAGGCACCTTTCACATTTCTTGGGGGGAACACCCAGAATCGCTGTCCAGGTTTGAAAGGTCTGGCTCACAATTACTGCCCCTACACCATCAGCACACTGTGACAGAGTGCCCACTAACAACGCTACAGTTCATGAACACAAAACAAAAAATATCCAGATTGCCTTTTAGTTTTACGCTGGGACATTATTTTGGCGCAAATTCACGAGGATCAAGCTGCTATGCATTAACTTCAGACAAACATGAGATGACAAAGTGACTGTCCTTTAAGAAGGAGGTCCACCCTTCCTGGTTTGTGGGATGGACACAGCAGGGTACAAGTTTCTCAACCCCTTTCCCTTGAGAACATAGCTGGGACGGAGCTGCCACAGGGATCCTGTCAGGATCTCATTGCTTCCTGAGCTACTGCGGCAGTGGCCACACTGGGAACGCTCGTGCCAGCAGTTCCCCACCTCCCACTGCCAAATCCAGCTCTCAGGCTCTTCAGCTGGCTCAGGGGAAGCCCCAGCCTCTTCCCAAGACAATCACAGGACTGCAATCACTAACACAGGGAAAATCAAACAAGCCCTTAAAACAGGACTCTAGATTTCGAGCGACAGTACACTTTAGGAAGGAAGACGTAAGACAGTGATGTTTTCCCACCTTTCAGTGTGTCCACACTGTGTTCACACGGACGGGGGGAAGTATAAATCACCTTTGCTGAACTGTGAGCTGCTCTTTTGGGATTGCTCCCCCTTTCCCCCACCAGCTAACGCAAACTGCACTGTGCTGCAGTCATTCCCGTTCCTGCACTGGGGCTGTACTCTTAGTTTCTCGTGCCCAAGGAGAGGAAATGCTGAATGCACTCATATACAGCTCGCAGATTACAGAACACCCATTTATACCCCACTCAGAAATACCCTGATGGCATTTCTGCAGCTACTTCATGCCCTTCCCCGAGGGAACACGACGCCTCACAAGCACAATCACCCAGGCAAAACACATCAGACAGAAATACAGCCCAGCATTTACAATGTATTTCTAAATAATAGCTCTTGTACCTGTTGAAAGGATTTGCAATTCTGCAGGTATTAGAGGTGTCAGAAACACTTGTCAAGAGCATTCATACTGCTGGTCAAAACAATTTGGCTGTTACCCCTGTGTCTCTAAACTGGAGCAAGCAATCTGTGCTCTGCAAGTCTCAGATCTAATTCCCTCTTTTTTTTTCTTTCTTTTGCTGTGATCCAGCTCCCAGTGGAGCGGCTAGCAGAGCAAAGGAAGAGATTAGTTCTCTTCACAGAGACCCATTTTTCGGTTTTCCCACAAAACCCAAGCGCTAAAACAAAGCAAATGCCTTGTCCTATTTAAGGCAGGAGGAAAACTTACCGTGTGCTGCACCTGGGATGGCACCCGAGTCAGACAGTGAAAATAAGTGGAGAAACCCGTGTTCCTCTCACTCCAGTGCTGCTCAGCCCTCTGACAGTGGCTGTAGCGTGCCAGAGACTGACAAGTTCCCTATAAACACCGTTCCAGTAAAAAAAAAACCAACCCAACAATCTTACTTTCACTCCCTCCCCCTGTCAAAACTCACTTGGAGTACTAGGAAATTCTCATCCAGGGAACAGTCAGCTGCAATCTGATGTTTATGGATGTAATAAAAGACTTTCAAAATGAAGATGTATGTTTTTATAACCCTAGGGTGCAGTAAAGATATATGACTAAGAGTGGCAGTTCATCTCATCTTAAAGAGACAAAGATCCATTTCTCTGCCCTGTTCCTTTCTGAGGGGGAGACCTCTGGTAACCCCTGTTTCTGAAGGAAATGAGACGTGGTTCCAAGATCGTGTAGTCTCACTTGTCCCCTCCTTTGCAGAACAGGAGGGTTACGTGTGCTTTTACGCTCTTTATTACCCTCTGCCTTCTTTTTTTTATACATCTGGGCAGGGCTGATAGCCCAGGTGCACACAGATACCTTTTCCCTCAGCTTCTTCATTTCTTTTGCTGTGATTCCCTCTGTGAAAAGGAAATCCTACTGCATGTAGCTTGGGTACCTTGCCCAGGGTTTCCTGCTGCAGCACCCCAAAACCCAACAGCAACTCTCTTCTCACCTCACCCCCCCACAGCAGCACCGTGAACGTGCAGCGTTTGCAAACGCAGGCGCTCATCAAGTCAGATTTCTGCACGACACACAGGGTGTTTTACACCTGACAAAAGAAAATCAGAACCCACCCCTCCAGAAGGTGCTGCAATCGTGTAATTCTGGGCAGGGGATGGCCGGCTCAGGCTTCCCCGGGCTTCCCATGGCTCATTCCCGTGCTCGCTGCGGGCACAGGGACTTCGGCTCCTTGCCCGTTGGCCTCTGCCAATCTCAGCAGGGAGCTTGGCTGGGACATCACAGAGGAAGGAGCCATTTTGCCTTGTCTCCAGCAGGTCAGGGAAGAAAGCAGGTGTGGGGCAATATGGCAGGAGCATTTTTTCCTGTGACTCCCACCGTGGCCGGATTGGAGGGCTGGCAGAGAGCGCACACCTTCCCTGCTGGGCGGGGACCAGGGACAGGCTGAGGCAGCTCAGGTTACCCTGCACTGACACAGATGGTTTATTACCCACTGCCAAGTGCCCTCTGCTTTGCACGGCCCTGCTCAGCAATAACTCTTCCTCTACTCTCTTACCAGCTGGGATCAAGGCCAGGGAGCCACCTCCATCCTCCCACTCTCCCTGTCTCCCCTTGCCATCCTGCCAGCCCCAACAGGCTGCAGGCAGGGACTGCATGGGGTTTGGGGAGGTGGCTTGGTTCCCCTCCATCTTTTCTGCTGTGGCCAAGGAAGGCTGGGAGGGCATGGGCATCTCCCTCTCCCTGCCAGCACCAGGCTGGTGAATTCATAGAATCATAGAGTCAGCTAGGTTGGAAAGGATCTCTGAGATCATCAAGTCCAACCCTTGATCCACTACCACCGTGGTTACCAGACCATGGCACTAAGTGCCACATGCAGTCTCATCTTAAAAACCTCCAGGGACAGAGAATCCACCACTTCCCTGGGCAGCCCATTCCAATGCCTGATTACTCTCTCTGTAAAGAATTTCTTCCTAATGTCTAACCTAAACCTTCCCTGGCAAAGCTTAAGACCATGCCCTCTTCTCCTACTGACAGTTGCCTGGGAGAAGAGATCAAACCCCACCCGGCTACAACCTCCAGTCAGGGAGTTGTAGAGAGTGATGAGGTCTCCCCTGAGGTCTCCCCTGAGCCTCCTCTTCCCCAGGCTGAACAGCCCCAGCTCCCTCAGCCTCTCCTCATAGGACTTGTGCTCAAGTCCCTTTACCAGCCCTTGTTGCTCTTCTCTGGACCTGCCACATTTCTCAGAAACGATTCTGCCTCTAGCTTGGGCTTCTGTCTGAATTTCACTTTTCGTGGTTTGTTTGGATCTAGGCATTCAGGGTAATTAAAAAAAACACAGGTGGACAGAAGCCTCAGGAAGAGGTGTGGGGTTCAAGCCCACATCCATGAATCACATCATATGGAGCACTGAATTCACTTGGCAGCCCAGGTTAATTTGGGTTCCTACACACAATTTCCCAATCAGGTGAGTAATCCTGAAGCAGCTGGCCTCGTCCCAATGCAGGCATCCATGTGGGGGATGCATGCAAGGAGCAGCAGACAGGAGGAGGATTTTGGTCTCACAGTCTCTGCCTCTTTGGTCTTGCCTGAGCTGCAAGTGTGAATAAGCCTCCAAAAGGAGAACAGAGATGTTCCAGAATAAGAAGACTTAGACACAGTGACAAGCTTCTGTCTCTTCACCAGCAGCAATCTGCACAAGATCTTGTGTATTTAATCATTCAGGGGGGAAAAGCAGCCCCTGCAGATCTCTGGTGCAGTCACTGGTGGGCTCAGTAGTGGTGGGCAAGGCAGGGTTGGCACCAGTTCAGACCTGGGCCCTCTAGCAGGCAGCTACACAGGTCTTGGTTGTGCTATTTCTCCCACTGCAAGCCAATATTCCTGGGGAGAGACCCTCTGTGCAGGTCCTAGAGAGCACATAAGCTGAAAAGGCAAATAACTGAGCAGTAAGTGAAGTGGGAGGTGAAGGCTCTGCCTATGGCCTCAGGCTGGTGATGTGGCTCTGATACATGGCCAGGATCCTGTCACTGGGCTGCTGAGCATGGAGGGGCAGGGGGGGAGCCCTTCCCACGTGCTGGCCTCCACCCCAGTCAGGCACTGCTCTCTTGGGTTTGCTCACCCATTTCCCCAGGGATGGGGGGATGCTTCTTTTGAAGGATACACCAGAACAAGCTGGAGACAGAGGTGCAGAGAGAACTTGGGATAACTCAGCACATCTTGTGCTCTTTCAGGTCACATCCCTGGTGAGATCTTTAATGACTTGTTCAGCCGCCCGAGTGCTTTGCTGCCCTGACTTTGGAGCAGTAGGAAAGTCCCTGTGCAGGTTTTCCTGCAACAGATCAGACTCACTTGATCTTCCACAATAGCTCCTTTCTCTGCACTATCAGAAACATGACAGAGTCCAATTTTATTTCTCAAGAGCGTACTGCTAGTAGGATTTGTTCGTTTAATTGTCATCTCCATCAATATTGCAGAGTGCCTGAATCCTGCTAATTAGAGTGACAACACAGCCATTTGTTTGTGAGTTTTGAGCCAGTTCCACCACGAGGACACAGACCAGGGCCCTTCTGCTGTCGGGAGGGAGAGGATGCCAGCTCAATGGGCTTGGGAGTTTTAACACTCCAGAGAGCAGGAAGGGTTTGGCACTGGGGGGGTTGATGCTCTGCTTGGACAGCCATGTGCCTTCTGGTCCAGGGCCACAAGAGGAGGGACAACATGTGACTCAACAGTCCCACAGAGCAGCTCAGCCTTTGCCTTTGCCTTGCAGACAGCTGACCCCTGATACAACCACTGCATCCAACCCTCACTGGAATAATAATTTTTTTATTTCCAATGATCTCCCATGACTGTGGCCAGGAAATGAAGAACAGTTTCTTAGCAGGACTCTGGTGGATATCTCCTCTGCTGGATAAAAGCCACTGCTTATATTTTCCTCCCGAAGGATCATATTTTCCAGTCCCACCTTTTACAGTCTTTGTTCTGCTGAAGTGTGTGTCATTCTTCTCCAGCTGCCTGGGAGACTGATGAAAAGAGGTGCATTGCCTCCCACCGCTGTGAAAATTGGGGTGACCCCCTTTTTGGCATGTATTTGGATGAGTTGCTTTGGGAAGCAGAATCACACAGGCAGAGTTGTTTAAGAAGTAAAGACTAGAACAGAGCTGGGTTTTTTTATTCTTCCTACTCTCAGCAAAATGTCAGGAATGCTTAAGATTAATGACAACCCATGTGAAAGAGAAACAGATACCAAGGAACATTAGTTCCATCACACTCAGTTCAACTTTCACCCCCTTTCCACAGCAGACTCTGTCTTATGCTTTGGTAACCTGTGGCCAGAATTTTTCTTGCCCTTTTCAGCTTAGATCTTTGGAAATCCTTGTTTTATAAAATGCAGGGAGGGAAGAGAGATCTCGCTGACACAGTGAGCTATGTTCTGCACAAAGCAGAGCCATGTGCTGTCAGCTGGGGATGAAGAATGAGGGCCTTGGGAGAGTGCGAAAAGTTATACACAGTCTTGTAAAAATATACGGTGAGCTTCGTGTTTGGGGAATAAAAAAAAAAAAGGTAGATTTTCTAGAAAGCCCTTCAATCAGCTTCCCAGCTGGTATGACACAGTGGCATTCCCTGGTAGAGCCATGCTGGCCCCATTTGCTGGTCTTTGTCTTGGGGCAAATGGCTACGGGTTACCCACACCCGCTGGCACACAGGGTGTGCACATGCTCCACCCCACCTTTTCTGATCTGATAATGCAGATACTGCACTCCTGGACCAGAAGAGTGATGCTGTTCCAGCAGTTTGTCACAAGGAAATAGCTCAGGAGACACCTTCTTTTCCCTTGGCAGCCACGTGTGTCCCTTGGCTTTGACTACCTCCTTCTGGCAGGAGCGGCAATCACTGACAGGGGACCTGCTCATGGCTTGTTACAAATCTTACTGTGGTTAAGCTCTTCCCTGTTTCATAGGCCCTTTATTCTTTTTACTCTCCACTTGCCTTTGTCCTCTGCATGCACAGGCTCCCTGCTGTTGCCTCCCTGTCTCCCCCACATCCTCCTACACTGCCTTGCTCTGCCTTTTTCCCTACAGATGTTTCTGCCACAGTGGATGCCTCATGGAGTGGCTTTGGTTCCCTGTGCCTCCCCATCTAAAAGAAGACAGTGCTGTGAGGCATTTTCTTACATAATACAGGAGCCTAAGCAAGAACAAGAGGTGGGACTTGCAGTGAGAGTAAGGAGGATGATGAGGTGGGACCAGCAAAACTGCATCATTCATGTCCCAACAGACTCACCCATTCCTGCAAGCTGCTTTTTCCAGTCCCAGGCTTTCTGTCTCACTCTTGATCTTTCTGTGCACTCTGTGTTTCCGAGATAATCTTAACCTCTTGCCCTTTGTCTCTCCTATCTTCCTGTTTTAGTGCTCCAAACAGTGTCCCCAGCTGACATCTCCTATCCTCCTGCAGTCTCTGCCTCAGCAGCTATTCCCTGTAGCTCCACAGTGCACAGGCTCAGGCTCCTGCTCAGGCTGCATTGATGTGAGTGGCAGAAGATACTGCATCTGCACAGATGAGC